TCATGGGCCAAGCAGTTCTTTAAATGAATACAGTTTGTGTGTTGTTATTTCGGGCATGAGCTAGCCAAGCGGCCGGGGTGTTGGGGATGCAGCCCCGCCGCTCCTAATTCAACATATGATACCTATGATTAGGGAGATAAGTTAAAAGTAAGGAGAACAAGATTATTTTAGCTTGGGATCTAGGGTTGCTTCATATTTACATTGAATTCACACCAGAATCCTGTTAATACCTCCAAGTTGTCTCAGGGGTCCATAGAATGAAAGAATAACTAATTTGATCCCTCAAACAGCATCAGGTTCAGTGGTTCAGAAACCTAAGAAGCAGTAGATATTAGCAGCACACCGGCAATATCATACTGTTGTAAGGAGGCCGCTTGTTTGTTTCTCGACCGCCCAGCTGCTCAGACCAGAAATAACCACACAGAAACTGTATTAATTAAATCATTGCTTGGCCCATTAGCTCTAGCTTCTTATTGGCTAATTGTTACATACTAACATAACCCATTTCTAATAATCTGTGTATCGCCACATGGCTGTGGCTTACTGGGTAAAGTTATGTCTAATTCCAGCAGGGCTAAATGGCTTCTCCTTGACTCTGCCTTCTTCTTCCCAGCATTCAGTTTAATTTTCTCCACCTAGCTAAGTTCTGCCCTGCTATAGGTCCAAAGCAGTTTCTTTATTCATTAATGGTAATCACAGCATGCAGAAGGGAATCCCAAATCACTTCCCCTTTTATGTTTAAATAAAAAGGAAGGTTTTAACTTTAACATAGTAAAATTACATATGACAAAAGAGTTATCAAGCAAGCATTACAGCTACTATATTTATATCTACTTTATTTTTATCATAACTAAGGAAAACTCTATCAATTGAAGAATTTGAAGACCCTATCAAAGACTCCAAAAGGATATAATAGTGCCTAAATAAATAGGAAGTACATTGTAAACAACTTCAAAACTCTAGAATTGATAGAGACATCTCGCTGCCTAGACAGTCACCCAAAGTTTTTCTGTACTGTTGGAGCATCCATCTTTAGCCTACTAGCCCATAGTATCCAGCAAACTTTTCCATGAAGCAGGAAATTTCAAAGACAGTTCCACCTATATTGGTAGTTTGTCAGTTACTTTCTTCTTTGTCCTGCAGAATGTCTGACAATCTCTTTTATAAAGCAGGAACCGTAAAGGACCGTCTCACCTATAGGCAAGTTCAGCAGTCATTGTAGTCATTTCTCTGTGGGTCCTTCATGTCTATTTCACACAGCAAAACATCAAACAATCCAGGCAAGAGCAGTTTCTTGCCCAAATGGCTAACAAACTCCATAAGGAGTCTCTTCGATGCCCATCTTCCTCTTGAAGTAGATTGGTGCTGCCAGGAGCAGGTGTGTCTCACTGTCATGAAAAGTCCTAAGTTCTTAAAACATTCTAAATGCCATATTCTGAAGGTCTCTGAAAGATTTGAAGAATACCTATCTAATTGAAATATATCTCCATATATCTAGAAAACCTAACTAACATGCTACAAGCTTGACTATTATAGATGACTATCTATTAACCTGTATTTCTTAATTATACATTACATTTTTAAATGAGCTGCACAGCCAGGTGGTGGTAGCGCACGCCTTTAATCCCAGCACTCAGGAGGCAGAGGCAGATGGATCTCTGGGAGTTCGAAGCCAGCCTGGTCTACAAGAGCTAGTTCCGGGACAACCAAAGCTACGGGGAAACCCTGTCTCGAAAAACCAAAAAAAAAAAAAAAAAAAAGTTGAACTGCACAAGCATGATACCATAATCAAGACTGACCTTAAATTTGTATCAATAAATCAAAATCCATACCAATGCAAATCTCTACAGCATATCCCCCTTTAAATGTAAAAAACATTTACAAACAATATTTGGGAATTTGGGTGCAGTTCTCTGTCTCCAAACTGCTTCTTGCTGCTTATTGGGTAAAGTAATGTAGTATGAGCTGCGGGCCTTTTCCCACAGCCCAGCTCCTGGCTAGCTTATGCGCCGAAATAACAACACACAAACTGTATTCATTTAAATATTGCTTGGTCCATTATATCTAGTCTCTTCTCGGCTAACTCTCACACCTGGACTAGCTCATTTATAATAATGTGTGTAACACCCCAAGGTGAGCTTACCAGGAAGATTCTAGCCTATGTCCATCCTGGGTCAGAACTTCATCGCGTCTGTCCGGGAGAGGGGAGCATGGCATATGAGCTCACTTCCTCTTCCTCCCAGCATTCTGTTCTGTTTACTCCACCCACCTATGTTCTAACCTATCAGGGCCAAGCAGTTTCTTTATTAATTAACCATTGACCTTCCTCCATCAAAGTAATTTTTTGAGGGGTGTTCAAGGCAACCTTTGAAGGGGTCTTGGCCCATCAAATCACATTAGACTGGAATAAACCCACAGGTTCTCATCCTCTGTGTAAACAAAAAAAGAACCTCTTTTCCAAAGAAACATATCATTAGACTCAATTTTTGAAGAAAAAAATACCTTTAAAGTATATATGTTGGTTACTTAGCTCCTTCACAGTCAAAAATTTCAAAAAAAAACACACAATAATATACATAATCTAGACTCTGTGAATTTTTCATCTTTACGTGGCTTATTTTTCTTTTAATCTATGACTGTACATACTCTGTCTTTTAAAGACTGTCTTTTAACAATTTATTTATTTTTATAACTATCTCCCAAGCCTACATACATTTATCCAACACTGTGACCCATTTATAGGTTTCTTTTATCTGAATGTGTCTTTATTGTGTATCTACAATTATCTTCTGACCAGGACTGCTTTTTAAAATGCTAAGCACTTCTTAAAAACCTAAGTGGAGACATTGCTATGGTATATATGGCCTTTGCCTACTTGCTCTGCCCAGACCAACATGGGCATTCCATTCCATTTACCACCTCTGCAAGCCATGCATATTGCCCCAGTTTCTGGTATACAGTGGGTCTATGTCACATCATTAAGCAAGTTGTCACACTCTGCTCACAAACTCTATTTAAATGTTCTGTAGCTGAGCCTCATCAGAATTCATACTGGCAGCACAGCCCAGGAAGCTGCAGCCATTTCAAAACAGTGCAGCTTTTTTCTGCTATTGTTGAATTAGAAAAACTGTTCTTAAAGGAGCCATGACTGTGCTTACTTCTAGCAAACAGAGCCCACCCAAGAAAATGCCACTACCAAACCATGCTTAACTCTGTTCTTTTGTGTCTAGGATTCCTTTTTAAACTTTCTCAGGTTTTATATGGATGTAGTTAACCATGTTGGAGTGCCAATTTGTTGTAAGGAGGCTGCTTGTTTGTTTCCCAGCTGCCCGACTGCTCAGACCAGAAATAACCACACAAAAACTGTATTAATTAAGTCACTGCTTGGCCCATTAGCTCTAGCTTCTTATTGGCTAACTCTTACATCTTAATTTAATCCATAGTAATCTATGTATTGCCATGTGACTGTGGTTTACCAGGTAAAGTTCTGTCCGGCTCCAGTGGGGCTACATGGTTTTCGAGTCCACCTTCTTCCTCCCAGCATTCAGTTTAGTTTTTTCCACCTAGCTAAGTTCTGCCCTGCTATAAGTGCAAATCAGTTTCTTTATTCGTTAATGGTAATCACAGCATACAGAGAGAAATCCCACATCAATCATACCATGAGGAACAATTACTTTTAGCGTGGTTGCAGCATCAGTCTTTACTCTTCACATGCTACCTGGACCACTACGGGAAAGAGAAATCTTCTGATGCCAATAAAGAGTCAAAGATGCAATGTGTATGCTGTAGCTAAATAGGTAAGTGTTCTCAACCCTTCACCATGATACAGAATTATTATGCATTCTCATCCTTGACATGGCTTCATGGATAGATGAAGTTGATTCTTCTGTTCTTTGACTCTAGGATAGGTGAAGTTGACTCCTCTGCCCTTTGATCATGTGACCTATTTTGGCTTAAAAAAAAAACACATGAAAAAGTTTGAAATGTGTTTATGTGGTTGAATTTTGTACTCTCAAGTTGCCTTTGCTGTCATAAAAAGAACCCACCCAACCCCTCGCTTTGTCAAATTATTCTTTGACTTATTCAAAATGAGATATGGAGCTCATTCTCTCCTTTAACCTGGGCTCAAGACCAGACAGCTCCACCTGAGATCACCCCCCTGCAATGACCCACAAACCCACAAGCAAACAAAATAAATGTCCCCAATCTACTGACATTGAGATTATTCTTATGTTATTGTGGCAACAGAAAAGTACTTCATAAGATTTGGAAGGTTAAATTGTATCCTTCTCAAGTCTATAGTGGACTTAACCCTCAAAGTGACTACCTTTGAAGGTAGAACCTTCCAGGATCTAAATAAGGTAAAGTTGGGTGACAAAGATAGGGTCTCAAACTGATGGGACCACTATCTTCTTAAGAAGGGGAAATGCTCTCTGTCTCTCTCCTTACACACAGAGAAGATTCCAGTTGAGGAAAATTGTGCAGGAAGTCTTAAGAGGTCTTAGCAGATACTACCCCGACCTCCTGTGGTTCATGACTTCTAGCCATCAGATGTGACACTCAGTCTGTGTCATCCTGTCACAGCAGCATGAGCAGATGAATGCAGGGAGCTGGCTATTTTGGAGTCCTAGCTTGTATATCCTCTACACAAGTCCTTCTGAAATTCCCTTGCTCCCCTCACAGTGACCTTTCAGATACCAAACAATCTGACCCCAAACAATTGTCCTGACCTTTCTTCCCATCAATGACGCACTTCTGCTTCCTTGGGGACTTTTTAGAAATATGTATTTTGTCTCTTCTGACTTTAGGAGGCTAACTCCATTTGGTGGACTGGTTCAGTGTGTACAGGACTGACACCTGATGGTCTCTCTTCCTTCAAGACTGCCCATACACCAGCTTTCCAGAGAAGACTTCAACAAATACAAAATAGCGTGCCATCTTTTCCTCATGGCTAGTTACTATATTAACATTTATTTTTATTTACAGAACTTACCACTTTCTAAAGTAAATATATGCTTTATTTCTTTTCTGTGTTCATCAATTAGCATACAACTTAAAAGGGAAGTTATATAGGTTTAGTCCATGATTATCAATGTGGAAATCAGACGGGCATGGCTTTGGAACAGTAGCTGAGGCCTTTACATCCTGTTCTCTATTCAGGGGGGGCGGGGAGAGAGAGAGAGAGAGAGAGAGAGAGAGAGAGAGAGAGAGAGAGATATTAGGCCTGGTGTAGGTTTTTAAAATATCAAAGCCCATCCCAGTGACACACCTCCATCAACAAGGTCACAGCCATTCCAACAAGGCCACACCTCCTAACCCTTTCTAAACAGTTCCACTAACTGAAGGCCAGGCATTCAAACATATGAGGCTATGGTGACTATTCTCATTCAAACAACCACAGGTACCCAATTCCATTTCTGGACCACCCTAGTTCTTAGAGAAAAAAAAATCTCCACATAAATTAATAAATTAACAGAGTTCATTCTCTGTTGTGTTACTTCATTTGATTCTCGTGAGAGTCACTCTTGAGCTGACCCTCCAGAGAGAATTTGCTATGACTGAAGGCTGACCTCCATAAAGACTCGGCATTAATTGTTGGGTGGGTAAAGAAAATCACTTTTTCTCTTTGCTATGAAGTCCATAGCTAGACTTAGTTTTCTATGAGATATAGTAGCTGGATTTGCCACAGACTCTTATCTACTCATTGCTAAAAATGGATCTTGGGATAGGAAATAAAGCTCTTCAATTATTTCAATCCCCAGGAATATCTTCTTTTTTTTGGTAAAGATTTTCTGGATATTTCTGAAGCTGCTGTTGCATTACCATGATGGGTAGAGCTAACAAATGTCTTGTCCTTGTCTCGGGCAGGGCCCAGAGCCAAGCACTATAAGTCTGGGCTCATCTTTCTCACTTAGACTTGCCAGCGCAATGATAAGATTAATGGTTTCCATAAAGAGGGGTACTTTAGGTACTTCCTGGAGAGCTTGGCTCATCTCTAGATCTAAGAAGTTCATAGGAGTGGTGTCTTGCCTACATAATCAATGCCAACAATGTGCTTGGCCCTGCACATTACCTGTAGCATCGCCTACACAATAGCAATGATGTGCCACCGGACTCTTGTTTCAGCCCCGTTACTTCCATGTAGCCCCTCCTGCTCTTTAAGATCCCGTTATACTGGCCTTCTCTCAGTGTGCTACACTCAGCATGGTCATCCAGACACAGGGTCTTTCTACATGATGTTGCCCTGGGCTTGAGTCCACTTACATTGACTATTCCCGGTTAAGTCTTACTTATTTTTCCCACCTCAGCTAAGCATTGCTTCCTTCATGTCTAGGTTATATTTATTCCTTATTGGATTTCAATGGTAGAGATGTAACTTTCCTTTCAGCCACCATTTCATTTTAACTTACTTTTCTGATTTCTTAATTTCTATGCTCAGACACTCACACAGGGGCTACAACCATTTTGCTTTCTATCACAACACTTTGTTCCAGGAATAGTTGACATTTAACACATATTTGTGACACAAAGCAAGGATGCAATGATAACACAATGAGATACGCTCTGTCCTTAAAGGAGGCACAGTGGACTCTACCCGAACTCACACAGAAAGACTTTTCTGGGAAAATGGTATGATATGGGTATTTAAACACACAATTTTGTGTTTTGCTGAACGAAACTGGAAAAATAAGAAATAGCGGGAATCTCAATGAGCTGATAAAGCAGGTGATCTGGATCATGTCAAGTTTCTTCCCTAAGCAAAGGAAAATCATTGACCATTTATTAAAAATTAGTAAATTACTAGGAGTCCCACGATGAATGATGGTACAGCCTTAAAACTAGACAGGAACATAACCAGGTTCTGAGAGGGTGAATGGATGTCACAGGGCTTCTAGGAGACAACAAGATACTCTCCTAGAACAGGGATGCACATATAGCTTCATTTTAGGTGGTTCCCAGACTCAAACCATGCCCAAACAACGTTAAGCCCATTAACCATTAATAATAGGTTATCTGCCTATTCTGTGTTCATAAATACTGGTTGTTTACAGTATTTTTGTGTTTGTGTTCTTTGTGTTTTTTTGAAACTTTCACCATTTGTATGGAATCAAGGATCAGCAAAACCCCCTTTTTCTTCCTCTATGGTTAATCTTCTATGTTGTCATCAATGACTTAAGAGATCCTAGGTGATTAGTAAAGGACCTCACTGAGTCTACCTGAAGTTCCAGAGATGGTTAGATCATGAGGCTTCATCCTATGATTGATTCACAATAGGATGATATTATTGGAAGATGAAGAAAGTGGGAGGTAGGGCCTAACTGAAGAAACTATCCCATTGGTCACATGTCCGTGGCATCATACCTTTCTGTACTCCTCCGATATGAACTACTCTGCTGTAATATCCTGCATGTTGTGATGGACTAGCAACTCTGAAATGTCCAAATAAAGCTTTCTAGTGTCAGATTTTTCATGTTAGATATTTAGAGCACTAAGAAAAGTATCTACTTTACTTTCATCGTTAGTATTAATTCTCCTTCCCGCAGTGGCTACTCCAATGCATTAAACCTCTTAATGTTTCCATTTTCAGTTAGCAAAGACCAGATCTCTTATCTCTGTAAAGGAGAAGTCCCACAGGGATATAGGAAACAAAATCTCCATCAAATCCACATGGTACTGAAACACTGCTGGCTGGTCGAGATGCATTGAGTACGAAAGATATGGTCCCTGGTCTAGTAGGTAGATGAACTGAGAAGATTGATATAAAGTACTAACATGAAACATAACTAGCAATAGGAAAGTACTGTGCAGCGTAGGCATATGGAGCACAGGCACTGGAAGAAACTCTTACTTAGACAGGGGTTGGGAGCGTTGGGAGGAGGTACAGGCAGAGAACTGAGAGCTAGCAGTCACAAACATTACAGGTACAGGCGTGGTCTTCCTGGCAGGATGGTGCTTGTCCACACCAGCTCATGGAGGCCAGTGTTAAGCCTCTCTTTCCAGCTCTGCATCCAGTGATAAGTCACAGGAAGCAAGAATTCACTCTTGTTTGGGGGTATTTATACAGAAGAAATTGACTAACCTAGAAATCTGGCTTTTTGTTACAGAGCGTTGCCAGCTGTTAAACATTTACCACACGCAGTGGCAAATCGTGTTCTACAAATAGAGAATATGGCAAAGTAAAAGAATTGGAGCACAGCAAAAGATAAAATGAAAAGATGGGACCAGATTTGCATTTATAGAGGGGGTGCCTGAGCATAATACTTTTTATTCAGTTTTCTTTTCTTTTTTTTTTTTTTTCCTGCCAATGTTGGGAACTACTGTGCTAGATTCTAAGTCTAAGGGTCTTGCAAACCACAGTAAGATGTTGCTTTTTATCATAGGATCAAAATCAAGAGAGGGTAGCACGTGGTTGACCATGGCCAAGCCCCCATGTAGATGTAAAGAGGAAAGCGCAGGTGCAGAGGAAGGGTGTGTCACTGAGCGTTGTTCAGAGAAAAGGGCATCATACAGCTTGGGTATAATGGGGGGGGGGGCGGCAGAAACTTTAGAGCTATCTTAGAATGCTGCATCACAGACTCTACCCCCTGGTCCCCAATGATTCACACACTGTCCACAAGCAAAACACATTCACTGCCTTGCAAGATTCCCCAGAGTCTCATTTCATTATAGCATCCGCTCAAAAGCCCGTACTTCACCATCTCAGTCAGTTCTGGGTACCAGTGAAGCTCCTGGGTAAACTCTAAAATACACCAGCTTCCTTCCACCTATGGACCTGTAAAACTAAAAAGGCAGATGATAAGCCCTCAACACACTCAACTTTCAGCACTGATATGGACACATACTAGTCTATAAGCATTCTGTTTCAAAGTGAGATGTGTACTTGGATGCCCATGAATTGTGTATGCATGTTCACGCATGTGAGTACTGGTGCACGTGGCGGGGGGGGGGGGTAGAGGTTTGCCTTGAACATCTTTCTCGATCATTCCTCATCTTATATATTGAAGCAGTCTCTCTCTTCAAAAATAAGCTCAGTGACTCGGCTAGTCTCGCTGGTCAGCTTGCTCTGGGAACCCCGTCTCCTCTATCAGAGTGCTAGGGTTACAGCCAGGCTCCCTTGCCTTCCTGGCATTCACGCGTGTGCTGAGCATGCTCGTTCTGCTCCTCACACTATGCAGCAAGCACTTAACCCACTGAGTTCCCTCCCTTTCCAGTCATTAGAGGGCTGACGGTCCAAAAGCCTCCTCTAATTCTGCAGCTTTCCCTAACTTTTCTGGTTCAAGCTGGCATTCTTTCTCTGAAACAATCTTTTAAGGAACTCGGTGGCTTCTGTGGATTTTACAAACACTTGGTCTGTTGTACAAAAGTGACATCCACAAATAATCCATTCTCTACCCCTGGGTCCTCCTCGACGCCCGAGGGAAAGTGCCAGTAAACTTCCTGAAGACCCTCCGGAGCCATTGAAAGAACTCAGAGCTCCTCGGGAATCTCTGAAAACAACTGAGCATGCCTTTCTAATGAAACTGCAGTCTTCGGGGATTGGCGGTGGGGATTACACTGCTGCTTTCTCTTTATGAGATTTTAGCAGACATAACAGGGAGTTCAGACTTCTCACTTGAGCATGCCTTCCCAACAGTGAGGTTTTTAATTCCAATATCTTTGGTCACCCAGAGAGACTGAGGATTTCCAAAAATGTAACTCCTGCTTTTTTATTACAATTAGTAAACAGATCTCCCTTCAACTTCTGCCTTTCCTCTACTACAAACAGCAGGAAGAAAGTAAAAGTAAATGGCACTTTCGTCATTAGCAGCTGTGCGTGGCTGCTCATCGTTGATAAGCTCCGCTTTCTACACAACTACAGGAGATGATTTTGCTTGGTTCCTGGTTGTTAAATGGTGAGGGCTTTTCTTTCTACTCTCCAGTAATGCATTCCTCACTGACGCCAGACCCGACCTTAAAGCCTGCATTTCCGTTAACAGTCCTCCTAAGACAATTTAAATGTTATTATACGTTATTTTTAAATTTCTTCTAGCTTCTGCCTTCTCTTTGGTTCTGAAAGACCCCCAGTGCTGAGGAGACTCTCACTCAAGTCTCGGGATAACACGACCTTCCCCCCCCCCCCCAGTAACTCACGAGAGACCGTTCTTGCAGCAATCACACAAGGTTTAATGATGAGATGAGCCGGGAACCGAGACTGGGGCCAAGACTCATAACCCACACAGGGGAAGAGTTCAACCCCAAGTGACCTGGAGAAGGGGTTTTTATAGAAAGAAACCACAGCCCAGTAATCTGAAAGGGGCAGGGAGGGTGTCACAGAAAATCACAAGGGGACAACTCCCTGCCTCAAGATCACTCAAGGTCATAATCAGCTAGTTCCTGAAACACAGAATTCCAAAAATACCAGTGATAATCACAAGGAAGAAACTCCCTGTTTCTCAAGATTACAATCTAACTTTATCTTCAGCTAGTCCCTGAAACACAGCCACTGAACCAACTAATCCTAGATTCCTGATTCTTCTCTTCCTGCTTAGATTTTTGGCTATTTTCTTCCTGTGGGGGGGGGGGTGTCTGGATTTATCCAGGTCTTTCAGTTCCACAGCTGTTGTCACTCAGCATCATCCCATTTCCAGGTATTAAAATACGTGTTAGTCATCCACTACCACATAATAGGCTACCAACAAATTTATCAACTTAAAATTAAACATCCCTGCAGCCATTGCCTCAGTTCCAGTTCTTAGTCATGCAAACCTGGATTATTTTACTGAATGCCTACAGGCTTCCTGTTATCGTTTAATGTGATAGCTGTCTTAGTCACTGTTCTGTTGCTCTGAAGAGACGCCACGACCAAGGCAACTTAGAAAAGAAAGCATTTCATCGGGGGCTTGCTTACAGTTCAGAGGGTGAGTCCATGACCATCATGGAAAGGAGCATGGCAGCAGGCAGGCGTGGTGCTGAAGCAGTATCTAAGAGCTTACGTATTGAGACAAGAGCCATATTGAGACAAGAGCCGTGAAGCCAAGAAAGAGCTAGCTGGAATGGTGTGGGCTTTTGAAACCTCAAACTACTATCCCAGTGACACGACCCTGTCAAGAATGTCACACCTCCTAATCCTTCCCATACAGCTCTCCCCACTGCAGACAAAGCATTTGAATATGTGAGTGCCTGTGGACCATTTGTATTCAAACCGCAGTAGTTAACATCGGTTGTCAACATGACAAGATGTAGAATCACTTAGGAAACAAACCTCTGAGCACATTCCTAATGGAGTTCTAGTCTGAGTTAACTACAGTGGGAAGGCCCACACTAAGTGTGGGTGGCACAGAAGGGATCCCAAGGTGAACTGAAAGGAAAAAGGCACTGAGCACTAGCATTCTTTTTTCCCCCTGAGGATGAGATGTGACCAGCTGCCTCAAGCTCCTACTGCCACGATTCTCTGCCGTGATGGACTGTGTTCTCCATCTGTAAGCCAGAACAAACCCTTTCTTCCTGAAGTCGCTTTTGTTCACAACAACAACAACAACAAAAAAGTAAGCAGTTTGCTGAGTTTTCCTCTCTCCAGTCTCTTTTCAGGTAAGTGAGAGCCTGCTCTTGCTCCTGTAAAGAACTTGCTGAACCCGCCACCTCGTCTTTGGCACAGCAGAAAGCATTTCTCCAGGGACCATCCCAATCGATATTTTCAGCTTCATCTTCACCCGTTTCCCCATACAGCTGCTAACTGCATTCCACACAGACTCCCCCCCCCCATGCCCTTGGATCTTATTTGTGTTATTTTCTCCACCTGAATTTTCTGGGAAGTCATTCATCCTTCCCTTTCCAGCACACATGCAGCCTCTTCTGTGATGCTGCCAATGATACCCCAGCAGTGAAGCAGATGTCCCTTCTGTTATTCTGCCCACTACTGCACTCCGCAAGGTGTCCCAATAGCATTAACACCGCCAGGTGACTTGTGTGCAATTATATTTGATCTGATTCTAGACTGAGGCCAGACATTCTGCGATTTCATTTTTACCACTTCAAAAGATATCAATTAATTCCTTGAGAATCCCAGATATTGTATTTTGATCAAGTTTACCCCTTCCCCCAACTCCTCCCAGATCCGACCCCTTCCATTCCTGCCCAAATTTGTGTCCTCAAATTTTTTCTTTTTAAAATTTTATTTACATCATTTCTACCCCTTCCCTTTCCCCTCCCCCTCCAGTTCCTCCCATATCCCACCCTCTCTCAAATTCATGACATCTTATTTATTACTATTACACACACATGCACACATATACACATGTACATTTGATCCATTTAGTGTTGCTCTGATGTACCTGTGTGTAGGGCTGACCGCTTGAGATTAGATAAGCTGTCAAGAGCTGATGATGCTACTGGCTTGAAGATCATATCCTAACAGCAAGGTTTATTCAGTGCTTTGATTATAGCTTGCATTAAGTGTATCTGAATGCATACGATTATAACTAGGCAACACCTATGTCTCCTCCCACATATTCTAAGTGTCTTGCAGGAAAGCATTGTTTATTTTACTTTGTAGTCTTTCACAAAGCACTCAGCTCTTCCAGGATGCTCACAGCTTACTTTGTTTTGCATAAAAGAACAATGTGCAAATTCCTTATAGAAGCTACTGAATTAAGTATGCCAGTGTTTACGATTTATACTGAATGGAGTAGGTGGCACCTACCTGTAATTCTAGCACACGCAAGGTGAATGCAGGAGAAGCAATAGTTCAAGGTCACTCTCAGATATAAAAGAAATTTAAAAACCAGTTGGTGCCACTTGAGATTCTGCTTGTAAAAGTAAAACAACCAGAAAGAGTGTGCATTAAAGAAAATCGAGGAAATTATACACTAATCTTAAAGGGAAAGGAAGTCAAGGACTAAAAGGGATGGGGGAAAAGGGTCTTGGGATATATTTAGATGAATGTCTACCGAAGGGTTAAGAATAAGCAGCATTTTATAAAGAAGGCCAAACCAGGAGGCAAATATGTGTCCCTACAGAGGGAACAAATGGTTTGGTTTTACACTCCCTATAGTCCCTTTCCACAGGAATCTGTCCCTTTCGATGGGCTCTGAGCAGAGCGCAGAGTGGAGAGAGTGCTGCTGAGTCACTAACTCTATAAGGCACCATGGACACAGAGTGCAGCAGCCTCTTCCCGGGCTTCTGCTGGATCATGTAGCTTTGGGGAATAGGCCTGGGTCCCATAGATGGCTCCATCTTTACTCAAATATCTGAACTCCCCAAGAGAATGGGACTGAAAGGGCTGAATAAGGAATTGTAACTACCTCACAGTTAGCTCACTCAAAGCATGGCTTTACATCCAATGGTCTTTCTCCCCAGAACAGAAAAGGCATGGATTCTCAAGCAGATAACACCATCAGATTGAGCAGAATATAATACAGAAAAGAGGACTGGCCAGTGTGAGAATGAGAAATCCAAGATCCTAGTTTCCCATTCCTGCTTCGCTTTGACTTTCTTGTGTGGCATGTCTAAGTCAGTCTCCCCCAGGCTTCAGCTTTCCCTTCTCCTAAATGAGGACACTAGTACTGTGCACCCCCTAGGCTCCCTTGTAACCCAGTTGTGTAAGGATTGTGATAAAATGCAGAGGAAAACGTTTGGTTTATTACAGCTCTGCTCCCCTCCTGTTGGGGCATGCCAGTCAGCATCATCAGGGCCTTGTGGTTCGCTATCTCCGCCACAGAGCTGAACGCCTGTCTGGTCATCAGCTATTTTTACGCCAATCTCACATCTTGATCACCTTCCCTGTGCAAAGCCACACGAAAACAATGATGTTGCCTTAATCTTGGAGATGTACTAAAATAGAGGGTGACGTGGGTCCACCAAATGACCTACCCAGAGTCGGCAACACTAACAGTGAGCTAGAAGGACTTGTTAGATAAAGAAAAGACAAGCTGTCTATAAGAACTGAGAGGTTTCTTTCTAATTATGGAATTGTTAGAAACTTAGTTATGAACAAGAATGACCTCTGATATTCGGTTAAGCAAGGAGTTCAGGTTTCAATAACTCCATCAGCTTTAGGGGATGGGGAAGAGGTAGAAGTCCCACTACCCCTACAGTGCCTGTCTCTCCACCACCGTGCTGAGCCACCCTCTCTCGGGAACTAGAGAGACAGGAATCTCAGCTGTGGACACTTCTGAGTTTCACAGCAGGGACAGGGACAGGGAAGATGAGGCTCCAGCTGCGAGTGTGAGTCCCTGACTCACAGCCCCTCCCGCCCATCAAGAGCCACAGCAGCGGGCTGGAGAGATAGCTCAGTGGTTAAGAGCATTGCCTGCTCTTCCAAAGGTCCTGAGTTCAATTCCCAGCAACCACATGGTGCCTCACAACCATCTGTAATGAGGTCTGGTGCCCTCTTCTGGCTGGCAGAATATTGTATACATGACAAATAAATAAATAAATATTTAAAAAAAAAAAAAAAAGAGCCACAGCAGCGCCTTCTGCTACTGGTAGGATCCACAGTACCAGAAGTAAAGTTTCTGGAAGCAAGAGAAAGAGAACGGTCAAGCTGTTTTAGCGTTGGCCTGCGTACTAATAGTATGTGGTGATGTAGATGTACACTCGTGGATGTGGCTGTTTGTATGTACAACTTATCGTAAGACGCAGCCATACCATCTGAGCTCTCCTAGTTCTGCCGGGGACAGCACTTTGTCCTGAGAAGACGGACTCTCCTTGACTAAAGCTGTGAAGGCAGTGGCTCATCTAGGGCTGATTAGCAAGGAGAGGTGGGGCAAGTCACAATGACTGGAAACGGAAGCTTATGAATAAATAAACACATGAAAGGGCAAATCTCGTTCTTTCGTTACAATCAGGAAAGAGATGTCTTCATCAGGACTGAGCTTTGTCAGAGAATGTGGAGAGATGCTAAGGGAAAAATAGAGACAAGCACCAAATGTTTAGCCTTTTGTGACAAAGCAACAAGCCAAACCTAGTCTTATCCCTGTCACGTTGACAAGGATGGTCTGAGAGAAGAATTGACATGCTAGTGGTCATACTGTCTCTGAGAAATCACTGCATAATAGACATTTTATTCTGAGTAGTGGACGGGGGCTGGAGAGATGGCCCAGTGGTCGACAGCACTGGCTGCTCTTCTACAGTGCCCAGATTTGATTCTCAGCACCACATGGTTGCTCACAACCATATGCAACTCCAGTTCCAGTGATGGTAACTCTGATATACCATCACTGGCAACAGGCATGCCTGTGGTACACAGACATCTATACAGGCAACACACAT